TGAGCGAACTTGCCAGTCCAAAGTGAGTTAATTTTCTACAGTTGCTCATAAGACATTTGTGTTGGGTACTACCTTCCCATGCCTTTCAAACAGAAATCTGTAATTATTAAAAAATTTTTTTTGTGTGTAAACAAATAATATATTCAAAAAAGTGTACATTGTCACGTCACCCCCTTGCCCCACAGTTATACAATGCTTTTATTCCAATGACAGTTAGTGTTAATATATTTTTGCTTCTTGTGTATATTTCTAAAGATAATCACTCATGTGTCTATTCTATCTGCATCATAAAAGCTTTCTTTGTAGGATATAAATGTTGGCATATTGGATATATTGGGTTTAAATTTTTCCTTAATGGTAGTTTTTGGAGATGAGTCCACATCAGTATCCAAAAAGCTTCCTTAAGTTTTCAAAACAAGCTACATAAAAGGTTATGTTATGAGTTATAATAATTAGTTTAACCAATTATTGTTTTGGGGTAGGGGGCAGAGTCTCACTATGTAGCTCAGCCTCTTCTTGAACTTGCAACCCTCTTGTCTCAGCTTTCTCAGTGCTAGGATTATAGGTGCCTGCCATTGTAATGAGGCATAACCAGTATGTCTTTGTACTTACGTGACTATTTTTAATCTTTTGCTAATACAAAGAATGTCATAGTGTGGAGCCTTCTGCAAATATGAGCTTGAATATGTGTGTATAGAAACAGATGACAGACATGCCTAGAAGAGAGATTGCTAGGCCCAGGGGTCTGAGCATTGGGAGTTTGAACACATTTGCTGAAGTACCATTCCTAAAGGTTATGCCAATTTAATCTCTACCAGTAATATATGAGAGTGCCTGACTCTCCAAACCCTAACATGCACATTTTTCTCTCTCTGTCTCTGTCTCTCTGTTTCTCTCTGTGTCTCTGTCTGTGTCTCTCTCTTTCTCCATGCTGGGGATCAAACCTAAGGTCTTATAAAGGTAGGCAAATGCTGTACCTCTAACCTTCATACAGTACTTCATCATTTTTTCCTCCCAGTACTAGGGATTGAACTAGGGCCTTTACATTGAGCTACATCCCCAGAGCCTCTCTTTTACCTTTCTTTAAAAAGGGCCTCACTAAATCACTAAATTGCCCAGGATTGGTTCGATTTTGTACTCTTCCTGCTTGAGCTTCATTGGGATTTTAGGCATTAATATTGGTCAAATTTAAGGCTAAAAATTGTATGTTAGTGAAGTTGTATTTTACAGTTCTTTTATTATAATGGAGTTGAGTATAACAACTAATGTTAAGGCTGGGTGTGGCGGCATATGGCTATAATCCCAGCATTCAGAGGCTGAGATCAGAGGATTGTTACAAGTTTGAGGCTAGCCTGGACTACAGAGTGAGTTTAAGGCAAGGCTTAACTGCATAGTAAAACCCTGTCTCAAAAAAAAAACAAAAAACAAAAAACAAAAAAAAAACAAGCAACCTAGTGTTAAGAATCACTTGTATTTGCTTTTCTATAAATGTACTATTCTATTATATTTTTCATTCAGTCCTTTATTTCATTGCACTGTCTTTGTTGCATGTTTTTTGAGGAAAAGTACGATGTGATTCATAATCTTATTTCTCTAGAAGTAAGGTGCCTCCTACCATAACCCTTTTAATAAATTTCTTTGATTACGTATAGTTTGAATACAACAGGCTTAGTTATAGATTTTTTTTTTTTTTTGTATTTGTCTTACTTAGTGTTTTCTGAGTTTCCTAGGCTCATGATTTGTAGTCTGTCATTAATTATGGAAAATTCTCAGCCATCCTGTACATTTTCTCCTGTTTCTTGCTTCTTCTCTTGTTGTACCTATTGCATACAGATCACTCTTTTTACAGTTGTCCCACAGGTCTTTGACATTCTGATCCATCTCTTTCTTTTGTATTTTAGTCTGAGACGTTTCTGTTGCCAAACCTTTGAGGTCCTCATTCTTTCTTCAGGGCTCTTGGATCTGCGAGTGAGCCCATCACAGGTGGCCTTTACTTCTGCTACCGTGTTTTTGACATCTAACACTCTGGATTTTTACTTTTAGTTTCCATATATCTGCTTCTGTGAATCCTGTGCTTACCTGGGGTCCACTTTTTCCCTTGGAGCCTTTTGCCATGTTCACTGTTATTTCAAGTTTTCAGCATGAGAATTCTGAGATCTCCGCTATAATTCAGTCTGGATCTTGCTTTCCTTCATCTCTTCAGGATGTGGTTTGTTGTTGATTGTTTGCTTGCTTTTTTGCCTTCTCATATGCCATACACATTTTTTTCCTGAAAGCTAGATGTGATGTGTTGAATTACTTACTGAGGTAGAGAGGCCCTGAGTGTGAGCTTTAATATTTATCTGACAAATATATTTCTTGCTGTAGTAGTAGATGTCAGACTAAAATTCTTTTAGGATTTCCTAGAGATTACTTAAATAGGGTCTGACTCTTTTTTTTTTTTTCCAGTGCTGAGGATTGCACCCATGCTAGGCAAGCATTCTTTGTCACTGAGCTACATCTCCAGCCCTTTTTCTATTTTAAGAAAAGCTCTCGTGGGGCTGGAGACATGGCTCAGTGGAATAAGTGCTTCCCTGGCAAGCACAAGGGCCTGAGTTCAATCCCCGGTTCCGCAAAAACAAACAAACAAACAAACAAACACTCACTAAGTTGGCCAGGCTAGCCTTGAACTTGTGATCTTTCAGGATTTCAGGTATGTGCCATCATGCCCAGTGGGGTCTTAACTCACAGTCCCCTTAGGTCTATGTTATGCAGGAGCTCTTCCATTGAGATAGCAAGGTGTGGAGGTTAAGGTGTGTTTTGTATTACTGTGCTTACTCTTTTGGCCTTATGTGGGTATTTCTGTACTTCACATTGAGGTCTAAAAAAGGATGGAGTTGGCTACTTCCAGTTCCCAGCTTAGGCTCTATTAGGCTCTCTGGTAAATAGTTTTCCATAAAGGCAGAGTCTGGATATGTTTCAAAATGATTATGGTTTCTTCTCTATGAGGGAAGTTGGAGGGTATTTTCCTCAGATTTTCACAGTGGGAACCTGGTAGGCATCCTGGACAAGAAACAGGGAAGTGTTATAGTTTTCCAGAGACTGGACACATGGAATTTTTAATTTTCAAGCTTGTCCACACTAATCTTTCAGCAGTTTTATTTTCAAGTGTTCATTCTTTTACTTGGCAGTTTTGGGGATTGAACCCAAGACCTCTAGGACGCTAGGCAGGAGCTCTACCATTGAACTACATCTCCAGCTTCAAGTGTTCAACCAACATGGCTCCAGCTAGCTGAGGCTCCAGATCCCTGCTTGCCTCTGTGGGTCTTGGGGCAGCAGTCCGTCCTGTGACCTCAGGTATCTGAAGAATCTTAAGAGGCATTCTTGATTTTCACTTTGTGCATTTTTTTCTTCTAAGCTCTACACAGGCCTTATAGTTTTCTTATTGACTCATAGGAGTGCTTATCTAGGTGTAAAATTAGTCCTTTATCTTGCTATGGATCACGTTTTAAAAATTTCTTCATTCATCTTTTGAATTTGTACATCCTTCCATGCAGGTCACAGCAGATTTTGTGTGTGGTTGTTCAGTATGTATTGTATCTCTTTTAGACATTCTATGATACAATTAGAAAGGCCTTCATAACTCAGGTTATACAGGCTTTTCTCATTGTTTCTTTTAATACTTGTCATGATTTTACTTTTAGCATTTAAATGCTTGCTCCATTTGGGTTTTACCCTCATTTAAACTATGAAGAGTAAATACTACTTACCTCTTCTAGTTGGCCATTCAGTTGTTTCAAAACCATTTTCTGAATAAGTTACTTCCCCCAATGAGTGGACAATTATCTATTAAATTCCAATATGTATTTGGTTGTATTTTTATAATCTCTGTTCTGTTACTACTTTATCTATCATATATGCCAATATGAATTATTAATATTTAATATAAATTATTTTATTTATTGAAGATTTAAATGATTTAAAATTATTGTATGGCTAGTTATCTCATGTTTCTTGTCCATTTTTTATTTTATTTTTTAAAATGTATTTAGTACAGGTACACAGGGTCTCACTACACAGATTGGACTTACAATGATCCTTCCTGTTTTTCAGCCTCCCAAGTGCTGGGGTTACAGGTGTGTACCACCACGCCCAATCTCACTTGCTGTCTCAGTGTGCCCTTGGGGGCAGTGGGCACAGCAGGCTGGGGATTGAACCCCTGGCCCCTGCATCTGCCTAAGCAGTCACTTTAATTCACCGAGCTATCTGGCTGGCCCTTTCTTGTCAATTTTAGCTTACTTTTTTTACATTATTTTCAGCAGTAATATATCTACATTAAAAAAATCTTGCTGATACTTTTATTGTGATTATATAGCTTTTATGGTACTCTAGGGAGGACTGAAGTTTTCTAAAATTGGGTTTTTCTACCTAGGAGTATTATATGCCTTTTAATTTATTCAAGTCTTATTTTATATCTCTAAGGAAATTTAAAAATATTTCTTCAAATAGATCTTGCATATTTTTTGTTAGTTCTATGCCTAGAGCTCTTATCTCTCTTACTGTTTTCCCTTTGTTGCAACTGGGGTCTTCTACTTCATTACATCCTTTATCTTTTACTGATCCCAGAGAGACTGCAAAAGATAAGTAGTAGGGCTTGCCTTTGCTTAAAAGCATGGCTAATATATCAAAATGTGTCTCAAGACATGCGCTAAGTTGCACTTGCCGTAATAAACCTGCAGAAATATTTTACATCTTTTATCCAGTGACTGTATATATACTCAGTGTAACTGTTGGACTTTATTTCTGTATATTTGGTATTTATTTATGTATATTTATTTTGTGGAAATATGTTATTAAAAAATGAAAGACATAGGCCTGTCATAGTACAAGGCATTGAGGTATAAGAGGAATATGAAATCTAAGACCTTGGCCCTCACCCTTTTTAGTGCTGTGGCAATACTCCTGCTGCTTAATCATATAAGCCAGGTTCCTCATTTATAAAATGGAATAAATAATACTCACCTCACGAAGCTCGGTAATCCTTCATAGAGTCTGAAACACAGGAAAAAGCCAATAAATGCTGGCTGGAGGGGTTCTATCCTGTTACCAAGCTCAACCTCACCCATAGGGTCAGACTGGGAATAGATTTCAGTTTTCCCAAGCCACCTATTTTCCCTTCCACTCTTCCTAAGCAAAGCCCATGAATAGACTGAAGGGTTATAAAGTGGGTTATCCTTATGAGAAAGGAGTGAAAGGATTCCATGCTGGTTTGCCTTGATGGAGGTGTCCAAGGAAATTAAAGGGGACACAAGTTAATGAACAAAGCAGGGGAGGTGAATACAGCTTGTTCTTTTCAAGTGGCCACCTTAAATTTATAGAGGATTTTATAGCTTGCAGGTTATTTTGTATATGCATCTAAACCAACTTTAGATGGGGAGAAGACCCCCATCAGGGCCTGCAGTCACACAGGGAGTAGGCTAGGGGGTTGAACGACATGTTCCAGATCTGTGGACTCCTGTTTGGGTACTCATTCATTTTTATAGCTCTCTTGATATCACTTGTGATTTAATCCCATCTAGGTCTAAGTACTAACTTGGCAACAGAAAAAACAGATAAAAAATATAGAAAACACAGGAAAAAGGCAAACATTTTGAGAAGAGATAGATGAGAGCTCAGGGAATTGAGTCAATGATAGCATTGCTGAATATATGCAGAAATTCATAGGGGAACTATACTTGATCTTAGTCAAAAGGCCAAGTAGCAATCAGAGAGGGGTAACTTGTAAAGAAGAATCTACTGGAGGGTGTGTGGTGTGCTACCTGTTTTATGTGCACTTTTTCTCTTATTTCTAACATTAGTCTTCTGGGGCAGGGGTTCTTCAGCCAACTGTTCCATGCGGATCTAGAAAGCAAGGCCACAGGCTCATTCCAGTTTGTGAGCACCGACACCTTCATGTGGCAACTCCGAGGTGGTCAGGGCAGTGCTGTGAAGGAAGCTTGAGGATGTCAGTTCCAGACTGGGATGAACGCTGGAGAAAGGCATTGGGGTCAGTGGAGAAAGGAAGGACCCGTCCAGGCAAAGCTGCAAGCAGCTGGAATTGGGGATGCAGAGGACACGCGGGCTAGAGTAGCTGCAGTGGAAGAAACAGCCCGCAGGAGGAGGCTGCTTCTACCTGGAAAAGTGCTTCATCAGCTACTTTGTCCGCCCTCTCACTGCTGCATAGCTTTTAGAAAGTGACAGTCACTAAGCTGCAGGCTGCAGGATTCAGAAGCAGCAATGGTCTTTGCTCACTGGATGACAGTCTAAATTCGGACCTAAAGAATGTGCTTGGAGACAGCTGGTGGAAACAGTGCTAGCCCTGTCTCCAGGGACAGTGTCCACATGCTGTTCCCCCTTTACCAAGCGTTCTCCATCTCCGTCTCTGCCTCGCTTCCCGCCTGTCTTCCATCAGTTTGTTTTAAAGTAACCCAGTCTGGTGCACTGTTCCCAGCGGTCAGGAACACCCTTGTTTCACTGGGCGCTGCCGGCCACTTCAGTGGTTGAGAGCTACTCGAGTAGTTTATGAGAAGTGGCACTTCCTCCCCAGTTTCTTTTATCTGCCACCGGGTAGTTAACGTTCAAGCCGTTTCTGTACCACCGCGGAGGTGACTGCAGTAAAAACTGCGGGGCAGGGCCCTCCTCTAGAAACTCGTGAGCGAGACGCACTGAGCCGGTCCCCAACACCCAATGGGCCTGGACTGCGGCAAAGGGGTGTGGGAGTGGAAAAAGGGGAGGACCACCCGGCCCTTCTCTGCTTCCTCCGCACCCATGTGGAGCTCGCCCTGCACTCCGGAGGACAGAGGAAGGTCACACCAGGTCGCCAGCACCTCCTGCGCCCCCGAAATCTGCAAATTCATGGCTCCTTTCATCTCCGAGCGAAACCCTCCCGTCCGGAGTAGGGACCAGCTCCAGATCTTCACCTCCAGCCTTTAGCTGACTCGTAGGGCAGATCTGACATCTACCCAGTAAAAAGGCTCGGATTCGCTTCTTTCCCTCAGGGTTCTTATCTATGCTTTGGACTTTGCTTCGGACTCGTACGCGCTGCGTTCAAGTCTCAGCAACTTTCTCCATCTTGACCCGCGAGTCAGGGCATTTCTAAGACAATGTGAACAAAGAGCAGCAGACGAAGGAGCCAGGGCCTTGCTGGCAAGCTGCGGGGCGAGCGCTTTTGTGCCAGGGGCCCACGCACATACGGTGCGCCCCTCCGAGCTCTCTGGCTGCTCCGCGGGACAGCGAGTTTCTTTGTCCCTGCCTGCGGTTAGGCGCGAAGGCCGCTGGCTGCGAGCAAGAGCCAGAGCCCGGGACAGAGGCCGGGCTTCCATGGCAGGACCGATCAGGGACGCGCGTCCGCGTTTCAGTGTCCCTCGAGCGCCCCGCGCCCCGCGTGCCCAGCGGGCTTCGGTCCTTTAGGGACACACCGAGACTCGCCTCCCGCTTCCTGAGCCACAGCAGGGCTCGGGATGGCTCATCTGGTTCTCCTAGTGGGGTTTGCGGGGCAGAGGGAACCCACTGGAATGCTCTCCTCATCCGGACTCCCCAGAGACGCGCGCACGTTTGGGGCGAGAGAAGAACTCAGGCACAGAGGCGGGTCTCTGGCGCCCCCCTACCGACCGCGCCGCAGCCCTGGCCTGGAGACGCGCAGCACAACGCCAACGCCCCTAACAAAACCGAAACGGTGGCCACATCTGCAAATGCGCGCGCCCGCGCGCCTCTGTGTGTGTGTGTGTGTGTGTGTGTGTGTGTGTGTGTGTGTGTGTGTGTGGTGTGTCCGCGCGCGTGAATTGACATCCAGTTGCCTTACCTGCAAATAGTTTGCACTTCTGTGTATTTGCTGGAGAATGAAAGAGCAACTGCTATGCCCATCCAAACCCACCAAGCCACCCCCTTCTCTTCAACTCTCTCAACTCATGTTGAGAGAGATCATGTAGTCCACGTGAAAATCACTTCTCAGTTTCACTCTGAATCTGATCCGTGCAGCGAGCTGGGTACGAGGTGACCATCTTTTATTCCTCAGGCTAACTGGGAATCGCGGGAGACTTTGGCCTCTGGCCGCGCATCTCTTCTCTGCTTCTCGTTTGGAGAAGCTAGGTCTCCTCGGCTGTCTTCCCAGGAAGTTGCGCGCTCTGCCGCGCTGCGCCGGGCCTGCCGCAGAGCCAGCGGAGGGCACGGCGGGCGTTAGGACCGCGGGGAGCCGGGCGGCGCGGCGCTACCTTAAACCCAGCCCAATGCCGCCGCCTGCGCCACTCTGCGCGCGGCGGGGCTGCGCAGGAGGAGCGCTCGCCGGTGCCACGCTCCGGGCCGGCGCGGCGACACCTGTTCGCGGCAGCCCGGGCGCACGCGAGCTCCGGACGGCTAGCCTCGCCGCCGCCGCCCGCACACGGCCGGCTGGCCTCCTCCGAGCCTCAGGAGAATTCTGGACACTAGCTCTGGACGCCTAAAGTTTTTTCTTCTTTTTGTTTTATTATTATTGATTTTTTTTTTTTTCCAAGGGGACTGGGAGGGAGAATCGGTCGCCGCCACCAACGTGAGATTTATTTTCCCTCTTTAAGGATTCATGCTGATGTCTGCAGAGTCGGTTAGAGAGTAAAAACAGCGCATGCCTTCCTGGAGTCAGGATCCGTAAATTCTGACGTAGCCCGTGCATCTTAAAAATCCCTATAATAACGCCTAGGCATTTAAGTGGCTATGGTCATTCTGATCTCAAAGCAAATGGAGAGACTACGGATATTTTTCCTCGTTACAGTCGGATGGGATGAAGACCTTGCCTGCTGAGCGCTGGGGATCAATCAATGCAGTTAATAGATAATGTTCGCCAATATGTCAGTGTACGAGTATAAAGTGGTGGTTTCTTAGACTCTCAGTGGTTTGACCTTGAACCTCTGCCAGTGAAACAGCAGATTACTTTTATTTATGCATTGAATGGATTGAAGAAAAGAACCTTTTTTTTTTTTTTCCCTCTCTGCGACTGCAGTACGGGAGGGAGTTGGATATACCTCGCCTAATAGCTCCTGGGTTGACACCATCATTATTGTTTATTCTTGTGCTCCAAAAGCCGAGTCGTCTGATGGCTCCCTTAGGTGAAGTTGGGAACTATTTCGGTGTGCAGGATGCAGTACCGTTTGGGAATGTGCCCGTGTTGCCGGTGGACAGCCCGGTTTTGTTAAGTGACCACCTGGGTCAGTCTGAAGCAGGGGGGCTCCCCAGGGGACCCGCAGTCACGGACTTGGATCATTTAAAAGGGATTCTCAGGCGGAGGCAGCTCTACTGCAGGACTGGATTTCACTTAGAAATTTTCCCCAATGGTACTATCCAGGGAACCAGGAAAGACCACAGCCGATTCGGTAGGTATACCATTAACCCTGTGGTGTCCGCGCGAGGACATGTTCCGACTGTAACTATGCGAAGGTGGCGGTGGCTGGGCGGGGGATGCAGAAAGGTATCTATTTCTCCCCTTTTTAACAGTGTCTGAGGGGAAAAGAAAAGACAAGACAAAACGAGACAAGATCCTCCGGAATTGCAGATCTGCTGCTGGCATTAGAGCAAGTCTACATTGAAAGGCCTTAAAACAATAATATATATATATATATGGTTATGATTTATGAATATAGCACAAGTCCTTAGCTGTTTTGCATTATGTACGCGGTAGATGAGGTTTAGGAAGTTTCTTTTGAATGGACTGATTCCGCGAGCTTAAAGCTTTAATCATTAACTACTAAGAACTTCAAAATGCCTCCAGTTTCCTTAAGTCAGTGGATATCTTGTGATCAGATTAAGATTCCTCTGCCCCCTTTTCTTTTACTAAGTATTCTCTTGAATTGTAAATCAATCGTATTGTTTCTCTCGTCACCCCACCCCACTGCGGGTCCGAAAGCCCAGCAGGCAAAGATTGCTGACTGATGCTTCTGTTGGGAGATGGACTGAAATCAGGGTTGTGACTTTGAGAGCAGCGCTGGCAGAGATGTCCGGGGAAAATGATTTGGGAAGGGGCGGAACTCTGGACAGGAGAGTTTGTCCTTCCAGCTATCAGGTTATAACCTCTGCGTTTAAATTTCCATAGTGTGCAGCCTTGCGGGGGTGGGGGGTCTTGGTTGGGTGGCCAGCACTCCCTCTCCTCGTGTGTGCGCGCGCGCGAGCAAGATCTGCGAGCTAATTTTAAAGGGCATTCCGAGGATTTCATTTTCCAAGGAGGGTATTTGTGACTCAGCACCGAAGGCTGCAGACTGGAGGGTGGTGACTCTGCCCACTTCGATGCCTGCACACACGTGCCTGCTGGGGCACCCGCAGCCCTTGAGCTCGAAGTCAGCTAACACAGTCCCGAGTGGGGTGGAGACAATCTTGGTTTTCTCCCTTCTTGTTTTAAAAAAAGTGAGTTTGGGCAATCAGAGTATTGGAAGGAGTTAACTTCTGAGTGAACCCACCTGACAATACTTAAAATAGGTCGTAAAACACAAAGTCCTGTAGTGCCTTTTCTTCCTCATGCTTTAATGCCAGATGTTGAACATAGTCTGACTGCACGCTTAGTTGGGGCTGTAGGTGATGCCAGAGGTGAGGTGGGCTCAGGTCTGGGGTGGGGTCAATTCCTGGTACATGAGGCCCAGGATTTTCTCCTTTTGCTTGCTTTTTCTTTTTCTTTCTTTTTTTTTTTTGGAGACAGGGTCTGACTATGCAATCCAGGCTGGCCTTGAATTTACTTTGTAGCCCGGGCTGGCCTCCGCCGCAGCGATCCTCCTGCCTCAGCCTGCCGAGTGGCTGGGATTACAGGCGTACGCCACTCGCCTGGCTCCTTTTGCTTACTCTCCAGCCTGAGTCCAAAGCTGAACCCAGTAAATTTCTCTACAGCTCTTGTCTTGCTGCTTACGGAAAAAAAAAGTTATAGCTCTTTCTTGGGCAATTATCCGGCTGAAGTACACTCGCCCCCCTTCCCCCCCCAGCGAGGCTGCTCTGGCAGTTGCGAAGACAACTGACTAAACTTTGCTGGAAGTGCCTTTCCATCTGGCCGCTTTAAGGGCGGCCGCCAGCCTAGCGTTCAACATCAGAACAACGGGCAGTGGGCAGCCCGGGTGGGCGGCGAGGCCACCTGCCGAGCTCGTGGGCTTCTGGGAAGCGGGGACGCGAACTGGATGCGCCCCGCAGCGTCCCGGGCCCCGGACTTGCGGCCGGCAGGTGCGGGTCAGTGGCCCCGCGGTGTACTTGGCTGGGCCCGGCCCGCTCCGCGCGGTCCTAAACGCGCTCGCTTTCTGGCTCCTTTTGCAGCGGACTCCCGCGCGCCCTTCGGTGCTGCGGGGATCCCTCGGGCCGGGGGCGACGAGCAGGGGTACACACGTTTGTAGCCGCGTGTAGGGACCCCGATTTTTTTTTTTTTTTTTTTTTTTTTGCCGGAGCTCAGCCCCTCCGCTTTCTCTTTGTGTGCGATTATGGTCTGGCGGAGCCCGCAGCCGCCGCCCGGGCGGAGCGCGCCGGTTTGCTGCGTGAGGAGTGCTAGAAGCGCGCGCTGCTACATGCGAGATGCCGGCCGCGACTGAAGACAAGCTGAGGTCTGAGTGGAGCTCCGCCGCCGCGCCCCGGGCCCCTCCCCTCTCACGGCAGCTTTTGGAGGGTCGGTGCGCGCCGCGGTATCCGGGAGGTGGGTCGGTGCCCCCGGCCGGGCGAGGCCGGAACCGCAGGGGAAGGGGTGGGGGTGGGGGCACAAAGGGCCGCGGAGGCGGGCGGAGGGGGCGGCGTGCTAACAATAGCGCGGGGCTGGGGCCGCAGGCCGGCGTTCCTGTCCCCGCCTCGGCGCCTGCCTTGCGCGCCCGGGGACCCGGTGCGCGCGGACGCGGCAGGGGCGCACAGCTGCAGGCTCCGCGGCGGGGCCCTGGCCAGCTGCATTGTGCGAATTTCCCGGCCGCATCCTCTAGTGCAGCGTGGCCGGGCCCAGGCGCGCGGAGATCACGGGGTGTGCCGGTTAGGACTGCTCCTTGCACCTTCACCTCACGGATGGTTCTCTCTCTTTCTTTCTTTCTTTCTTTCTTTCTTTCTTTCTTTCTTTCTTTCTTTCTTTCTTTCTTTCTTTCTTTCTTTCTTGTCATCTTTAGGAGAGGACGTTTGGCACAAGCAGTCGAGTCATCAGAAATTCATTAACTCTGCCACCGAGGAGAGTAGGGTGCAAGGGTTGGGACCACGCGAGTGGGCAGAGCAGGAGAGGCGCGTCCTGGGGTCATTAGACAAGGACTGTAGGTACCGCGGTTGAACAGGGACCCTTGAACAAAATAGATCTCCTCACCCCTCCTCGGTCCTAGAGGTTGGAAGGTGTCGTTAGAGGTTGGAGGAAGGTGTCGCTAAGGAAGTGACATCTCCCTTCTTAATTCGCTCCGCACTGTATGTCCCCGGCTGCGAGCTGGCAGGTCGGCCTGGTGCTGCACGGGGGAAGGGCGCGCTGGCGTCGGCCGTGCCACTCACTCCTGCTGGCTGGAGCTGAGTGGGTGGCTTGCGCGATGGGGGTGGGGAGGATGGGAGGCAGCGGGAGGGTTATTTAAGTCTTTCATCAGATGCAGCGAGAAGCGGGCCCCCGGGGTGACGGCATTGCCGCGGTCTCCTGCTGCTGCCTCTGCGGCATGTCCCAATATTAGCAACCTCTGCGGCGCTGTGCGCAGCGCGTGTGCGGAGAGCCTCTTTCCCCTGCCCGCCCGGCCCTGCCGGAGATGAGGCTGCTACAGTGACAGCGCTAGGACCCGGCGGCGCGGGTGGCGAAGGAGAGGTAGCTGGAGGGGCCGAGGGGCTGCGACGACAGCGTCCGCGTCACACCTGGCACTAGGGCCGCGCCTCTGCCTCCTGCTCCTTCCCGGCTGCGCCTCCCGCCTCTCGCTCCTGCCTGCACCCTCAGCCTCAGAGTAGCCCTGGGTGGGGGCAGGGTGCGTTTACACCTTCATTAAAATAGAAGGTGCGTTTCTGCCTGAAATGGAACAGCAGAAGGAAACGTGCTGGAAAGATGTTTTCTGCCGCCCCTGTGCAGCCGCAGGTGACTGCAGCTGCTGGCGAGCTTCGTTGGCTCTGACCCAG